TCTTCATTTGTCGACGGAAGGCTTGAAAAAAATGTCTGTAGAGAATTCACAGATTGAAGAGCTTCCTGGGATGACAATAAGGACTGCGATGGACCTGTATTATCATCATCATCAATATCATCATCATCTTCTTCATTGTTTCCTATCTCATCAGTAACTCCTGCGAAAACCATAAGATCTTCATCTGCTGTTAAATAGTCTTCTATACTAATTCCAAACTTTTTACCGCTTGTTTCCTCAAGTTGGGATACGGATTTTTTGATGTGCAAAACACATTCTTGATCATCTGAGAGATCGTTGTCTATGGAATTTTCATCATTATCACATTTCTTATCTTCCATAACACAAAGACTGGCCTTTTTCCAGCAATTCCGAATGGTTTTTTCTGTTTCTTTCTTACTTCCCACCAACTTCCAGCAATATTGTCACAAACGCACCCTTTCTTGACATTTACAGCTTTGAAAGGGTCTTCTACTTTATTTTTAAAGTTTACAAGTATGGAGTCCACCAACCGTTTCCTGTAATATCCTTTGAAGCACTTAATTATGCCCATATCAAGAGGCTGTAAAATTGAAGTGCAATTGGCAGGGAAAAAAGCGATTTCGATATTTTGTAACTTTGGAAATGACGTGTGAGCACCGCAGTTATCTATCAACAAAACGATTTTTTTCTTTCTCTTCTTCATTTCATTCTCTAACTTCTGTAACCATTCGGAAAAAAATTTAGACGTCATCCAAGCCTTCTTATTTGCTTTATACTCCCCGGGAAGACTTTTCATGTTCTTAAAGCACCTTGGCTTCAATAATTTACCAATGACGAGAGGTTTATTCTATGCGTTCCTGTGCTATTTGTACACAGAAGAAAAGTCAGTCTCTGCTTTGATTTCTTCCCTCCATAACACTTTTCACCCTTGAATGCCAATGTTCGATCGGGTAGGAGTTGGAAAAACAGCCCAGCTTCATCTGCATTATAAATGTCTTCTGGAGCATACTTTTCTAAGATTTCTTTCATCTTGTTTTGCCGCCATTCATTTGCATCGTTTATCGGGGCTGACTTTTTCTCTCCGTGAACTTCTTGGAAAGTTATTCCATGACGATCTCGAAAACGCATTAACCAACCATTGCTAGCTTTGAAAGTTTCATTCCCTAGCATTGCTGCAAATTTCCGTGCTTTTGCACATAATAACGGTCTATTTATTGGGACATTTGTTGCTCTCCTTTCTTGAAACCATTTTAAAACAGCAGCATCAATGTTTTCATTTGTCGCAACTTTCAGTCGTTTTCGCTCTGGGTTAATTTCATTTGAAGTTACAGCATCTTCGATTTGCTTTCTCTTCTTTAGGAATGTTGCAACTGTACATTGCGATAATCCATGCTTCTTAGCCGCATCAATCTGCTTCATTCCCTCATCAGTATCATTGATAACGTTCAGTTTATCTCGAAAAGATAGTTGCTTTTGCCCTACCATCTTAGGGAACAATATCGCGAGAAAGAAAGAAAAGTTTAAACCAAATGTTTCGCGTTAACGTTCAAAATCGTTAAAGACTATAAAACAACCTTTGAACTCACTTTTCAGTACGTCACTTAACAACACCCTGCCTCCATCTCCCCCTGTTCCTCTAACAAAGGGTGCCTGTTCTGTGACAAGGTGACCAGACAGGTCTAGATGTCCTTAAACCTTATCAGAATTCCAAAGCTTACTGGGAAATGAGACTAGGCATACATTTACACTTCACACCTCCTCACCCACTCCAATTCCCAAAAGGGTGGTCTTCATCTGTTTTGAAATCTGAATAATAGCTATTTATTCATGGATAAGTTGAATATCCACAATGAGTCTTAATAGATGGAAAAAATAACAAAAGAAAACGAAAAAAAAAAAGCATTTGAAAATCAAAATATTATTATAAAGGGAGAAAATAATACTGAAATTTAGATTGAAAAAATCGTTTTACAGAGGTTTATTGTTCTAGAGAATATAGCAATATTGAGGGGAGATTAACATTAGTTTATATGCAAAATCACCGAGACCACAAAACATTATTTAGTAGAGGGAGTTATTGTTGTATCAGGTATCGTTGTAGCGAGAGTTTACTGTATCGAAATTCTTAACCAGTCCAAGACATCTTACATGATTTCCAATTGTTGATACATTTTACCTTTTTTCAAACTCTCACACAGTTATATGACGATTCAATTCAGTTATGACTTTTATTTTGTCATCAATAACTTCAGAAGGTTGGGTAGAGCACTGGTCTTTTTCAAGTGAAAAATCTCCATAACAAAATTTTTTAAACCAATTCTGACCTACACTTTCTGTTAAGCAATCAACACCATAAACTTTACATATCTCTTTGTGACATTTATTTGTTTTTTCGCCTTTATGAAAATAAAAAGCAAAATGGGCCAAAATAATTTATTTTTGCAACCCATGTTAGAATTGACCATAAATTGACAGTTGTAAAAAAAAAAAAAAAAAAAAAAAAAAAAAAAAAAAAAAAAAAAATACACCAAATTTGTTTCTATAGCAACCTAAAAATGCCAGCTACAAAATATTAAAGCAAAAAATATAAGATTGACAGAAGAATAACAAAATGAACATAGCACTATCTGTTTGTGCAAACTGAAATTATTTTTTTGAAAATTCAATACTTGCATACAGCTTTAAGCATCATTAGATACATAAGCTACACTGAATAAAGTAGCTCAGGTTTTTTTTTTTTTTTTTCTAAATCTCTGAGTAGCATGACTACTTTCATCTGCTTTTGATACATATTACCTTATTTAAAATATTTCGGTTGTCCTTTAATTATTTACCTAAAGGATAAAAGATTATAAAAACAAAAAAAGTAATGTAAGTAATTACACAGATCTAGCTAATAAAGGGTGGTTAATTAAAGCTTTTCATGAGTTAATTTTAAAACCCCTTGCTGCTCAGGTTAATAGCTCTAAAAAAATAAGAATTTTCATTAAGAAAATACAGGGGTTGGACAAAAATATGGAAACATCTCATAAAATGCATGTTTGAACTGAAATGTTTAGTCTTGCAAAAGCCATTGGTGACACTTATGTGTTTGTTTTGTAATGCCACCAGTACAACATCTTCAATATACAGCAAATGTCAAAACACAATCAGTATGTTGCAAGTGCCATAACAATGATGTACTCATCACTGCACAGTGCATCATATCAGAACTAAATGAATTTGAATGTGGGCAAATTGTTGGAGTTCGTATAATGGGCGCTTCCATAACTACAGTAGTGAAATATTTGGTGTTTCAAGAGGGACAATATTTAAGCTTTTTTTAACTTACAGTATCATTCTCTTTGGAAGGATAAACTAATGAGCTCAAAAAGACTGTATGAAGAATTATCTCCAGGTCTTTAGTTACAACAGAAAAGTCAGAAGAAGGGTGTAAAGAACCCCTTACTGATTTAATATAATTGTACAGATTGACAGATTTGGGCTTACAAGAGCCAACACTTCTGGCTTAACTCAAAACAAGTAACAATGAATTTAAAATAAAATGTAATAAATTTAGCTGAATGGCTTAAAGAATAATTTAAAGCATAGTAAGGCTCTGACTCATAGAAGTTGGCAGAAACAAGCATAATGGTCAATACCACATAATCTAATTGCTAGTAATTCAAATAGCAACGTGGCCTTCAAGCAGTCTGAAGACACTCTAAAATCACCTTCCAAAAACTTCCCTTAAATAGCACTTCTTTTTACCTCATTTGAATACACATGTGATAGCTTATTAACATTCTGATAAGAAAGCGTGGATGAAAATGAGATTGAAAGGAAAGTTGCTTTAACTAAAAATTAACTGCTAGTAAAACTAAATAAATCTCCACAGACTCATACAAGAAAACTGGAAAAAAAAACGCATCTCCTAAATCACAGCACGGACAAAAATGTGTGTTAAGTAATCACGACAGATGATCATTGAACAGGACTGTGATGAAAAATAACAGGACTACAGCCATAAAAGTGACTGCTGAATTGAATGTTGCACCAAAACATTATGAAGGGAGCAGGATATTTTTGAGTGAGCTACAATTTAAAAGCCACTCATCAGTGATCAAAATGCATGTAAAGAGGAGAAAGTGATACCAATGTCATAAAACCTGGACTGTAGAGGAATAGAAAACTGTCATTTGGTCGGATAAGTCTGGCTTCACACTGTTTCTGACTTGAGTTGATTTATGTCTGGCGAAAGCTGTCTCAAGCGTATGATAGAGACTGCTGCTGAGAATGAAACATGGTAGGGGTTCGGTCATAGTTTGGGCAGCCATATTGTGCTACTCCATGGCACCCATCATTACTGCACAAAGACACATTACTGCCAATTGACATTGCATGACATTCGTACCATGGGATGGACATGACCAACCATTTTGGCTGGTCACATTACTGTCAATTGACATGGTAAAAATTTTATTCCCCAATGGTGATGCAGTATTCCAAGACAACAGAGCACTGGTTCACTAAGCTTACATCATCCAGAGCTGGTTTTCTGAGCCATGAGGGTGAACTTTCACATATACGATGGCCACCACACTCACCAGATATCGATATCATTGAGCCTTTGTGGGCTATTCTGGAGAGAAATCTGCATGAGCGCTATCTACCAACATCATAATTAACTGAACTTGCCAAACTTTTACAGGAAGAATGGTACAAGATTCCTTTGCAAAGCATACAAGATTTCTATTTATCCATTCCAAGAAGAGGGAAAACTATTTTGAATCCCAACAGTTTTCTTAGAACATATTTTTATTTCAGTGCTTCCAAATTTTTGTCCAACACTTGCAAGCACAACAGACTTTTTTTCATCAAAATCTCTTGAAAGTTCCACACATCAGTGCATTCATATAAAATATAATCAATTATAGTAATAATTATAGTTAATAATTATCGTTATAAGTAATAAGATATTATATTATTAAAATTAAAAAGATATATTATTAAAATTAATAAGATAACTGCTTTCTTACTTCAACTGATCTTTTGGAATGTACCTCTTCCAAGCATCACTAGAGAAATCATTAAATATCAAAGGGACTAATTTTGTGGAAGTTAAATGCAATGATGGTGAATGAAAATCAGTTTTCCCAAGAGCATATGCCATATAGTAACCAAGAATTGTCATTTCCGATAAGAAGTTATAAAATGGATATACTTTTAGATACAGAACTGCAAGTCTTGTCTTCAAATCCTGGAAAAATAAAATAAAATTTAAAATCAGAAAACTTCAGATTACAATCTTAATATTTCCAAAAAGTTTTTGTTATTAAACAATTTTTTCAATTAAAAAATGTCAACATATAAGAAGTGGTACTAATATTTTGCATCTCTTCTTAAATTAAAATATATGTATTTTTTCAACTCTTAATACTATATTTTCTGTTAAAAAATAAAAAACTCATTTCATAAGAACTTTGATTTGAAAACTTCTGGCAACTGTTTCTGGACATTTTATTTCCTTGTAAGAAGTAAAGGAAGTAGTATTGTGATTACGAAAAATGTCAAGTATAATACTTCAACAGAAATTTCCATTTTGTCTATTCTCAAATCCATTTGGATGACTCTTTTTTGTAACTTTTCCTTAACTGGAAGATAAGAGCAACATAATTCAATCATTTTTAAAGCAAAATATGCACAATTTACCAACATATAAGGACAAAACAACTAAGCTCACTGAGCCGAGTAACAGAGTGGGTATGTATATATAAGATATAACAGCATATGATAGCTGTTACAAAAAAATTGGCGACCTAAGTTAACATTCTAAATTTGGTAATCTGCCTCTAAATTCATCTCTTCTCACAGGTTCCAGATTTTTCTATTTTGCGTAAAGTTTTAATGCAGATACCTCTTGTCCAATCAAATTAATTGTAAACCAAACTGAACTGAAACTTTTCTGCTTCCCAACCTTCTTCCTATGAAGTGCAATGACACTCTCCCTTTTTTCGCATAAGCTCACTTGCTGCTAAGACGCTTTTTATCCATGCTGCTGCTTACTTGCTTAAGATGACGTCGTATTTCAAATTGGAACTTACTGTATTCAAATACAATTAGGAAACATCTTATCTGCAAAAGGATGGTTTGATATACATAAAATAATAAAGATAGTGATTTTTCAAGATATGTTGCGCTAAATTGCATCATCATGCTTTCCACTCTGCCACCTTCAAGCCACTATGGTCTCCTCAGTCATCTACACAGTATCTAAGCTGTTAAAAGTTCCACTGTTTTCCTCTACACATTTTTAAAATCATTATATATATATATGTATGTAATATTTTGGCAGTCAGGCACCGGAATGGCAAAATTTGACAATATAATTATATCAGAGTCCGGGCATTGTTGTGGCTGAGTGTAAGGCAGCATCCAATGACAACAAAGAAGTTAGCTGTTTTGTTTCCACATCTTTATTCAATTCTTACCGCAGACCATTTTTACTTTAGATGAAATTCTCCAAAATATTCATTAAGATTCAATAAAGTTATTAAGACATATTCATTAAGCTAAATAAGATTAAAATTAGATTTTCTGCATCATAACTATTCAAAAAAATGAAAAATGGGACTAAGCAGCAGCAAAGTGTGTTAGTAGCAAGGGGAGAAAGAAGTCTGATGAAAAATGGCACAAACCCTGTATTTATACTAATGGTTATATAACATGCCAGAATGTTCTCAAAAGTACTGCTCTAGGCGAAGATCTTAAAATTGCGGAAAGTTAATTATAGGTTGCCTATTTGGGCAAAGCACAGCCATTGTATTTTTTACATTTTACATATATATGTGGAGATCATCGACGACCGATGCTGACTTAGTGAATTACCAGCAATGACGTCATTCCAGCACAGCGCAGTGTGGAGCATTCCAGACAGGGTCAGATAGCGTCCAGACGTGGTCGAGAGTAGATGTGAGCAGACGGCTCACAACTCTTCAAGATTTGAAGGAGACATGCGGTCTTCCTTGATTATTGAGTGCTCTTTGGGTTAACCAAGCCGTACATATTATTTAAAGCTAGCTGAGGATGCAAAATTATAACGTATTCTAACTAATAGTGGCTGTGGAACTAATAGTGTCTGTTCATCATTATATGAATCCTGTGGACTAATAATTCATTCCTGCAACATTAATTTTTACCTAACCTTTATTACTTTTATCTATTTCTTATTAGTAAAATAAAAGCATTTAAAAATGCAATATTTGTGCTCTACTACTGTTTTGAAAGAAAAACCTACAAACTTTGGCACCCAACGTGGGGCAACGAGCTCATCAGCGAACTCGAAAGTGTGCGAGTAGGATTCTGAACTGTGTCTTAAACTGTGAACTGAGTGAACTATTCTTACAAGTTATTTGATTTATTGGATTACTGTTTAAGTGTGTGGATTACCCCAATTGAAGACGATCATCTGTCAGGTGAGTACAAAACTTTCTTTCCAATATGAAGTTAGTAGAAATTCTAGAATTGGAAGCAGCTTTAAAGAACACTAAAAGTTCTGAAATCAAAAGTTTGCATAAGGTTATTTTTTAATACTGATGGAGATCGAAATAACCGGAAAAGATTACGTGAATTTTCTGGCTTTATATTTAAACCAGATTCTGAAGAATTTAATAAGAAAATAGATACAGTGCAGAATAGTTTTACTTTGAATGAGTTAATTAAAGTTTGTAGCGTACTATGTATAAATTCAGAAGGTTTAAAATCATAAGTCGTAACCCGAATTGTCTCTTTTCTATGTGATTTATCTGTATTATTTGAAAATATTTTGCATGAAAAAAATAGTGATATTGAAAATGAAACTGTTAATAAAATTTCTGAAGTAATGCTTGATGATAATCAAAGAGACAATCCTGGTTTTAATGAGTCTCAAGTAAATAGCAGTATGCAGCTTCCAAATCAAGATCATTTTAAACCTCATCTTAGTTTTTCGGATATTGAAAGTATTGTTAATCCTTTTTCATAATGCATATGAAAATAATTTTCATAATGCATATGAAAATGTTGATAAATGGATTGATGAATTTGAAGATGTTATAAAGTCTTTGAAATTGAGTGATTTGCATAAATTAGTTTTTGCTAAAAGATCATTAAAAGGTAAAGCGAAACTATTTATTCAGAGTGAACCTAAAGTTAATGACTGGTGTAAGTTAAAAAAGCTTTTGAAATCTGAATTTGGTAAAGCTTTTAATTCTGCTGAGTTGCATGAAATGTTATGTAAGCTTAAATTAATGCCTAATGAATCTTTAGATGAGTATTTTTTGAAAATGAAAGAAATATGTTCGCGAGGTAACATTGAAGATCCTTCATTGATTAAATATGTTATTGATGGTATTCCCGATTCTGTGGTGAGGAAAACTATACTACAGTCAAAAGTCGTTAATCCGGACTCGTCGGGACTTCGGCGATTCCGGATTATAGATCATCAGTTTAAATCTCGTAATATGGCATGCAGAAATTCTAAAATTAAAAATATGAAACCATAATTTATGAAATAAAGAACAATTATAATCCAAAGGGTATCAAAATTTACAAAAAAGCTTAATATTTATTTGTTTAATTTATTAAACATTTCTTTCAATGTAAGTTGTTTAAGTTGCTTTGTTTTATGTGATCATACTTTCTCTTTAATTCTATAAACAGACATAATTTCTTGTTCAGTTACAAAGTTCCGCTGTTCAAGTCCCGTTAATTGCTATGCCGAGAATACCGACTAACTTGTCAATTGAAATTTTTTTGTTTTCACTAACCTCTCTGTCACATTCTTCATGTCTTTATCCATTTTTTGCAGCAATACCACTTTTTGTTTGTTGGACATTGAAACATACTTTCGTTTTGTAGATCCTTTGGAAGTTCCAGCATCGGAAATTCTATTTGACATAATCGAAAGTTCAAGTTTACTTTTATAAAATTGCTCTTACAGTCGGCAAAAAATAATAAGCGGGATCCAATTCAAAGATTAAGGAACAACGCAATCATTAACATTAACTGAAATAGATAATTAGATAATTTTAGCTTACACCGTCCGTTACACATTAAACGCGCAGGCGAAAACGTATTCTGCACTTGCGCACACGCATATGCGCAGTAGTCAAGGTCTTATGCGCACGCGTAAAACGCCTGTGCGCATGCGCCAGGCCGGCGCATGCGCAGAAAGTTTTTAGCTTTGAGGTCCGGATTATAGATCATTCCGGATTATGGGTGTCCGAATTAACGACTTTTGACTGCATATGGTTGCGAAACAATATCTGAATTTAAACAAAGGCTAAAAATTTATGATAAAATGAGATCGGATAAAGATCGGATTTATGATAAAATGAGATAAAAAGAGATAAGTTTAAAAATCCAAAACCGAAAGTAGACACTCAAGTTAAAGATAGAAGTAAGCTTGCGTCATTAAACCGAAATCAATCTAAAGTTAACAAGGTCAAATGTTTTAATTGCCAGGAATTGGGGCATAAGTCATCACATTGTGTAAACAAATCAAAGGGGATAAAATGTTTTAAATGTAAAATTTTTGGGCATAAGTCAACTGACTGTCCAGAGCAGAATCCCGAGAAACAAGCTTTAGTACAACGAATTTCTGATAAGGATAGAATTATGAAGACTGTAGAAATAAATAATCATTTAGTTGATAGTCTTGTTGACACTGGTTCAGATGTCACGATATGCAGCGTGGAGTTACACAAGCATATTGGTTCTCTTAATTTAAATTGTAGCGATGTCACATTAAACAGAATTGAATCAAAGCAAATGTATCCCAGTGGCTTTTTTATTTCTGATATTTCAATTGATAGTTTTTCACTTCGTACGAAAATTTATGTTGTTAAGTCGTTATGTAACCAAATTGTATTAGGTTTGGATGTAATGAATCTGTTTAACTTCTCTTATACCGAGAACAGCCTTCAAATAATTTCTCATCGGAATAAAAGTAATGTAAACTTGATAACTGCCGAGTCATCTCGAAATGCTAACGTTCGTTGCGTTATGGGAAATCTGAATATTGCTGTGTCATTGAAGAATCTTTATGATCTTTCTCAATCGCCCGTCGTCTCTGTTAATGTAAACAAAAACCCCGAAAGTGGAAGTGGCTTGAAGTTTAATTACCTTTCACATCTGGTGAATGCTATTTCTGTCAACGAGATTGATTTATCGCATATTTCGAGAGTAGAACATAAAGAAAGACTGTGTAATTTAATTAAT